GTTCTTGGCAGATGATCGAGAAGTGGTTTGCCATTGCCTTCTTCTGTGTGTGCATGGAGTAATTGTTGGGATGCCACGGAGGAAAACTCCGTGTTGCCTAGACCACGGCCTTGCCCAACACAAGTTATAAATTCGGGCACCGCCGGGAATCGAACCCGAGACCCCAGGATTACAAGGCCAGCGTTCTAACCGCTAGACCACCGTGGCACAGACATACGAACGCAAAAATATGTGGCCTGCGTCTGTGGCCCTCACACGTATTTTTAGGTATTCTTTACGATTTCCTCGTTGTACGTCGCTGTTCTCCCCTTTGTGTCACTGTTGCGTGTTATCGACTTGGTTGCTCTGTTGACGTCATCGGATAATTCTCGTCCAGTGGTCTGCAGGACCTCAAAATTCCGTCAGCTCGGCTGAATTTGAGAACATAACAAAATGCTGTATAAGAGAATTTAAAGTGATGTGGGCGTGACCGTGATCATCAAGACCCCGGATCATGAGCAGGTGCATTCAGTCATTGTTAAATGTCTAGTTCAGTCAGCCCTAGAATAAAACAATGTAAAAATAATAGCCCTGAGGATGAGAGCAGAGATGGCTGTCGAAACGTTGGCGGAAAGAATAGCTCATTCATTCACCTGACGCGCCCTGTAGCCCCGAGAGTCTTTAATCAACTTCATTCGCTGCGAAAGCGTAACTTTACGAGGTGCGATCGGAAAGTTTCAAGACTGCGTATAAAAACCCGTACACTTATCTCAGGTGTTAAATTCATCCATCATCCTCGAAGTAGTTCCCCTGGGAGTGAACACAACGATCCCAGCGCCGCTGCCAAGCCTGGAAGCATCCCTGGAAATCTTTCTTTGTCAGCCTGTCAAGCACCATCTGCGATTCTGCCTGAATCTCTTCTATCGTCTCAAATCTCCTTCCCTTTAGCTGAATTTTCATCTTTGGGAAGAGGAAGAAGTCACACGGAGCTTAGAAAGGAAGTTGGGGTCGGTTCTTGCAAGATCTTTGAGCTCCTGACAAACGAGAAGTCGATTCTGCTTCTGGTCCTCAGACAGGTTGCGTCGCATGTGGAGTTCTTCCTTTAGAATCAGCTGACAGGTCCCATAGCCTATCCCAGCAATGTCGCACAAGTCGTTGATGGTACGACGTCGATCTTCGTGAATGGCCTGCCGAATCTTCGTAACATTTTCGGGCGTTGTGCTCGAAGATGGTCGTCCAGAACGCTCGTCATCATCGCCAGAGGTTGGGCCATTTTTAAAACGTGAATGCCCCACAAAAGTTTGTGCACGACCCATTTCGAAGTATTTCCCCAAATGCTTGCTTTAGCATTTCATAGGTTTCCGTAGCCGTTTTGGCGAGTCTTTGGCCAAATTTGATGCACACGCCATTCCGAAATCGCAGGAGGGTCGGTGTAATGCACTACCAAAACGCCCGTAACTAAGAAACAAATGCTAATTCGATGATGCCGGCTGGCACACTGATTCACTACGAATGTAGGCCGCACCCCCTAGCGGCAGAAGCTCGTACTACATCCGGTTCGCCCTCTATTGACACAGTCTGGAAACTTTTCCGATCGCACCTCGTATGTGTGTGTGACCTTGAATCTGGTTATCCGTGATACGTTTTGTCAATAGCCTATTTATCTCACTGCACTCAGTGGTTAAAAGGTCCTGTTTTCTGGTTGTTACAGAAGTGACTGTAGAGTATTTCAGGGGCTTGCCCCAGGTAACAGTTCCTCTGCCGTCTCGCAGAGAACGATGTCGCTTCACTCTTCGACCCATTAGCAACACCGTCGGTGACTTCCTGGCCATGTTATGCCATGAAGACCGTGGCATTGACCGTGTGGCTGTCAGCAGTCTAGGTAAGTCTCCAGACATTGTTCTGCACTGCAGTGTCTGAAGACAGATTTACTGGTGTGTTAAAATGGAAGGGGTAAACGTAAAGTGTATTGCAGGACAATGTAAATTGCTTACAGATGGAGTTAAAATTGCGTCGTCCAATTCAATAGAAGCTCTGATGGAGGAGGACTTCAAACTAATCGTCAACGACAATGTTTATTTAGTAAATACCCCTCGACAAGAAAGGCTGACAAAGGTGAGGCTTCTAATGTTTTAAAATGCATTATTAAGAGTAGGAAACTTATTTTTAATTGTTGTACAGAGTATGTGTTACGTTATGACAGTCTCAGAATATGTATACTGAATATCAAGACGGGATCTCGTAACTTTCCAGGAGAATTTGTATGTTGTGTTTTGTTCAGGAAGAAGTCCGTCGACTGTCAGATGTTCGGAACTTGGTGAATCAGTTGTATGAGGCGCTGAATGTAGAGCAACACCAACTTAACAAGGAACGTGAACTATACGGACAACTAGAGGAGCTCAAAGTAGAGCTTGAACCTTTGGAGCAAGTGAGTATCTGATAAAAAAAAAGATTTGCAGATACGTACAAAGTAATTTTCACATTGAATTCTGTAAACATCGGACGTAATAATTGTTTGGTAGTAGATTGTGTAGGTTGGCGGTACTGATACTGAGTTTCGTTCGTCATTTGTTTTCTGTGTTTCAATGTATTCTAACCATAATTGACGCCTGTTAGTAAAACACTATTATTTCTTGTAAGATTTGAGGTTTTCACAGCGGTGAGTATGAAGATTTCTTGTTTGGAGTGCGGCACTTATATTTTTACAACAAACTTGGTTGTGTTGTCATTGAAGGCCACAGACAAAATCTAATATAATTAATGCAGCGGCGGACGTTTACTGTGTGATGTACCAAGTAATACGTACTATTCGCGACTGAAATCTTGTGACTTTCCTCGATCACAGATGGTTTTCTTAGATCGCAGCTGTCATAAATATGATTACCGAACGTCGTGGTCGAATGCTTCGTATTCGGGAGGACCCCACATTTAAATCTCGGCCCTGAAACCGGATATCCTGACTGGGATTTTTCGTGATTTTCCTAAGTCACTCCAGGCAAATGCTGGTATAGTGCCTTAAAGTAGGCCACGACCGCTACATTCCACATCCTTTCCTGTTCGTTGTTCACTGTCATCCTCTCATTTGATGATGTATAGTCTGAGATACTTAAAAAATTTAATTAAATAAACTATAAATAATTGTGGATTCATTACTTGAGTTGTCCAGTGAATCAAGGATGTGTGCACGCACGCCTCTGATCACGTAGAACGGCACTGAATGGAGCAAGGGTGGACATAGAACGCTTCGTAGAGAAGAATATGGCGTGTCTGCTATTTATACGAGTGTGGGCCTTTGCTTTTTCGTAAACTGGATTTCCTGCAAATCTTCACAGAAACGGCAAGAACTGGAGACCATGGCGGAGCGACGCACGACCGTCCTCACGTGGGTGGGTCTAGGTCTCATGTCCGTGCAGTTTGGCATCCTGGCACGTCTCACCTGGTGGGAATATTCGTGGGATATCATGGAGCCCGTGACGTACTTCGTTACGTATGGCACCGCAATGGCCGCGTACGCTTACTACGTTCTAACTAAGCAGGTAATGTGGTTAATGCTTGCATTCTGTGGCGTTAGTTTCATCAGGATTATGCTAAGTGAGTTCCCTGACGAGTCCCTTTGAAATATGTTCATTTTGAATTAGGTTAGGTTATGTTGGCCACGCTGATGAAATATTATTTAAATTCGACTGTAGTTTTGTGACTTTGGTGTGCTTTGTTTTGAAAATAAATAAGGGTGTAAAATACATAAAGTTCTTTATTCACAGGAGCAATGTGTTTCCGTTTAAAGTCTTATTTTACGTTTTTAGTAAATTGTATTATTAATTCCGTAAAGAGAAGCATCTTCCATTCTGATACGAGTCCTGGTTGAAGGCGGTGGGTACCTACCATTTCAGCTTCATGTATTGACATCACTTTAAATAATGCTGATGAGAGTTAAGTCTCTTAGTCCGTCAGTCCGTGTTATGTGAAAAACACCGTGTGGATGTGATAACAGTTTCGGTGCAAGGATTAAAAAATTATACAGACTGAATACTGAATTTAGTTCATTTAATTTGTTTGTGTGTCTGGAAACAAAGGAACTTTGTAGCTCTGGACATTTGACATCGCGATGAGTAGTTTAAACAAGTTGATATTTGTTTATGGTCAGATGACTCACGGGTCATAACTTTCTAGTTTTGTAAGTTGTGGCGTCGTAAGCTTTAATTAAGTCGTGAATTTGCTTGTTTTCTGGTGATCCTATAAAGAGCACTATAACGCTGTTTCCATCGACCTCGCTTTCTAATCCAATTATCTTTTATACTTTATTTTTATGACATCTGTAAATGGCTTTAACTTTGTAATTCTGAGCATCTCTGGAAAACATGCGAGTTCCTATCGATGCGTGACAAGTACCATTTGTCTATGCCAGCAGAAAACGCGCTCTTAGCGTTACTTCTTACTTCCATTTTACTTATCGAAGATAGATCGATTTGTGATTAGAAAATATTTGTAGGTGACATGATTCAGTCCTAATTTTTCCAGGGGTTTTGGGTTTTAAGTTTTTCTAAAGACATTGGATGCTGATTCGTGTAGCGATGGACATGAGGTATTTAAAAAGTACAGAAGGAGAAACCGAAAGAGGTAGAAGACCACGAAAGGAACTGAGGAGGATGAGTTGTGGGAGGACAGACATAGATTTAGAGGATTGGTTGTCAGACAACGTACATAAAGTGCGAAAGTCACAGTTGAATGTTTCTTCCTAGAATTCAATACTTGGTTGGTATCGGGATTGTGACATGTTCTTCATCAGTGTCTTTATTGCTTCTGACTTGGTTAAAGTATGTTTTTCAAAACTGCTTTATAATTTGTTACGTTCTAAATTCACAAGACTAACTTCAGTTGGTCCATGAATTCCGCTATCAAACAGAACGGTAACATTTGGCCGTTTTGAGAAATGTAATGATGCAATCAAGCTTTTGATCTGCCCCCATGATTTCTACCATAAAAAACAGCGGTAAAATAGAATCGTATGTCCTTCCTCCAGAATTCAGAAAGCAGTTAAGTATGAAAATGTCTTGTAATATGCAGTCATATGTTTGTGCACTGTTCATGATGAAGTGAATTACCAGAATGGGTGTAACTTCACAATGGCAGCTTATTATTCAGTGTTCTGTCTGACGACAGGTCCATTGCTCTGCCCAAAAAGAGCTCTCCAGTTGTCCCTATTCTCGGCTTCTCGCTTTAATTCCTGGAACGTCATCTTCTTTCCTTGTTTAAGATCGTC